CTGCCCCTCCCAGCCTCAGGACGCTGCTTCTTCAGGGCCTGGGCTCCCCTTCCTTAGGGCTGTGGGTCTGAATTCCATTTCTTTCACTTTCCCCTCGCAGTCTCGCTCCTCTCTGAAGGGCCTCTGGAGACCCACCACCATCCCTGTTCCACGAAGGACCCCCCCATTCCAGGCCCCCTGTGGAGCAGCAGCTCAGGAAAAGTGGCAGGGGCTTGGGAACGCCCTTTGTCCTCTGCACAGTGAAGGAAATGGCCAAGAATTTGATCTCCACGTGACATGAATTACATGCCCCGCTTAGAAGAGGAGCAGGAAGTGGAACTGTTTGGGGTTTTGGTAACTTTTCCCTCTATTTGCAAACCACTACCCACCACGCGGTACCAGTTCTCCTTCTGCGCATCCCGTGAACCCCAGGGATGCAGAGGAGCCATCGCTCTGGTTCCAAATGGTAGGGGCCATCTTCCTCCTTGCCAGTTCCCCCAAGGCCACCATGGACGCTTCCCTGCCAACTCCACAGAGAGCATCAGCCCGCATGTCCTTGGCTGACCAAGAGCTCGGAGGACAGCCTCAAGGCCCCAGGGAGAGCAGTTCTGTTGGGTTCAAGTGAGTTCCGAGTTTTCAGGGAGAAATGGCTGTTACCTTTAAGATGGGGTTAACTTGAATGAGCGGCTACAACAGCAAGACGAACCCAAGAAGTGACTCGGAGCTAATGAGTATTGATTACGGAGAGGAAGCGGGTTAATGGAGTGAGTTGGTAAGTTGGTTGCCAAGGCAACATCTCACTCAGAATAAAACCTTCACCACGGTGAGCGCACACTGCATCTGCATGGGGACCAGGGGTATGGCCACATGGTTCCAGTTTGAGAACCGAGAACATGCAACATCAAAGCAATGGAAGGTTCTAGAACGGGGAGTTAAAAGTCCCCCCGGCCTTCCAACAAGAAACCCCCCGGCAAGAACCCGAAGGCAACCCAACCGCCCCCGTGGAAGCCCCGGAAAACCGAGGCCGAAGGAAAACGGGGCCCCCCCCCAAGGCCCATGGGCAGGTCATCCACTTTCCACTGGCCAGAAGTAGGGGAAGTGAGAGAAATTACCATTTTCCTGAGATGGAACAGAAACCCCAAGGTTGATTTGCACAGCCGTTGATGACGGCTGACCTTAAGAGAAGGGTAGCCGTCTCTGCCTTGGGTTTATATGTCTTTACTTCTGTTCTCTATTGGACTAAATACTGAAAATAGACAGCTGGGGAAATGAAAGCAAAACTGTCACCCGCCCTGGCAAATACTCAGCTCCCTGAGGACTCTACTTTTTGGCTTATTTTTAAATCCTCACTCCCCACCCTTCGTTCTGATGCCCTCCATCATCTTTATGACATTATATCTGTTAGGGCTTGGATGTGAGGTGTCCCCCGAAAGCTCTCATGTGAGACAATACAAGAGGGTTCAGAGGAAACTGATCAAGTCATGAGCCTTAACCCAATCAGTGAATTAATCACCTGATGGGATCAATTGAGTGGTAATTGGAGGCAGGTGGGGTGTGGCAGGAGGAAGTGGTTCACCAGGGACGCGGCTGTGGGGTAGATATTTGCATCTCTGCTTCCTGATCACATATAAGCTGCTTCCCTCGGCCACACTCTTCCTCTGCGATGTCCTGCCAAGCCCCGAGTCCCGAGCAATGGAGCCGGCTGTCTATGGGCGAAGACCTCTGAAATCGTGAGCCTTCCAATCAACTTTTCCTCCTCTACAATGGTGTTGGTACAGTCTTTCCATCGCAGTGGCCAAAAAGCTGACTAAAACAACATCCCTATGAAATCTGTAATTTCTCAAAGGTGTTGAAATAATAGCATGTGCATTTATTCCAGAAAAAATCAAAGGGCCCAAGTCTCCTGTTCTAGTTCCCACCTGCAGGTGGCCTTCCTGGGACACCCGTTAGTGTTCACCTGGTTGCCACAAATAGAACCCCGGAGTGCATATCTTCGAAGGTATCAGACCTCTTATTTGCCACCACCAAGGAAGCAAGACTGTCACAAAGCTTGTTAAAATGCAAGAGATTGTTTCTCTCACTGGGTGGCATCTGGCGGTAGCCTCTTTGGGAAAGTTAACAACCACCACCAAATAGTTGGGATATATCTGTGTGGATTGACGTGGATGAGGTGACTTAATGCTGACCATCAGAATCATGCCGGGCTATCACATATGGGACTGTGAGCAGCTGTCTCCGTTTCCTCTGAGGACAGAGAAGACACGAGGGTGACCCACAGCAGCTTCGTGTAGAGGCGAGAGTTCCATGACCTTTGTTTTTTATGGTTGCCCACATAATAAAGTTATCACCTTGATGATAAAAATTCCAGATATTTCCCTACCCTTGCATACACTTTCTATCAGAATTGAGATATCTTACCTTCTTGAAACTTGTTCTTTTAGTTGCATAACATGACACAAATAGCCAACACCCAGAAACTAACTCCCTTCTACAACATCATCTCAAAGGCTACTTCAAAAATCCATGCTACGGGGCTAAAAAGATATAATTTGGTGGTACAGTACTTGCCTAGAGCGCATGAGACCCTGGATTCCAGCCCAGAACCTCAAAACAAAATTTTAAAAATCCATTCTATGAATGGATCATGTTTTATTTATTTATGGCTCATTTTTTGTACATTTAAGGTATGGGCTTTTTTTTTTTTGTTTTTGGGGTTGGTTTTGTTTTTTGGTACTGGGGATGAAACCAGGGGTGCTTAACCACTGAGCCACACCCCCAGCCCTTTTTTTTTTTTTTTTTGCTATTATAAACCAAGCTCCAAAAAACATCCTTGCAATTAAGTCACTGACACATCCATGATTATTTCTTTTGAATAAATTCTGAGAAGTGAAATGTCTAGGTAAATTTGTATGCAAATTGTGCAGCTTCTCAGATATTTTCAAATTGCACAAAGTTTTTAAAATCCAATTTACATCTATAAACCATTCCTATTTCTTTTAAAAAAGATAAGTTATTTAAGTTTACATAGAGAAAAAATCAGAAAGGCACAGAAGCTAAAGCCTGAGAGTCAAATCCCTCCCAGTCCACCACCCAGATACAATCTCTCTGCTCCCCATCTCACCCATCCCTCTCCCTCTCCCCTCTCCTTCTCTTTCTCCCTCTCTGTCCCTGTCCCTTTCCCAACAAAACTGAGGGGCTTTGCAGCCTGGGGGTACCGCTGAGCCTTCCCACCCGGGCAGAGCGTGGCACCTAGAAGCTGGCAGCCCCCTCTTATCCTCACCCCGTTCCGGGCGAGATCTTAGGGAGCAGCCGGCTGTTCCTTGTCCAAGGCCCACAGCTCATAAGTGTCACCATGTCCAGGACTTTCCAGGCTCTGAGCCGTCCTAGCCACTTTCTGAGACCAGACATGTGCCCTCTGACCCACACACATGCATACGCCTCCCCGAGGGGCCGCAAGGTCAGCAGCTAAACCCAAACCAGCACTTGGCCTGGCCTGGGCTGTCTCCAGGAAGCCTCTTTCCCTGTCCTCAGTCCCCGTCCTGGCGGAGCTCCAGCCTCTGACCCTCAGGTTCTAATGGCCAAACTCCTGCTGTAACCCCAAATGCAAGGTTGAGCCCCTGACTCAGGCACCTCCTGGACCCAGCGCACCGCAGGACCCACCGTCTGCTCTCTGGAGCCCAGCGTGGTGCATGCTGGTAAAGTCGGCTGTCTAGTGTGTCCTCCTGCCTCTCCCGCCCCTGCTGCCCCTGCTGCCCTCCTGCCCCTCCAGCCCCTCCCGGCCCTTCTCCCTGCCTTCCTCTCCTCTCCTCATCCTGTCCACACTTCCTCCTGTGATCTCAAGCCCCGTGGCTTTAATGGCCACATCTACACTCCCAGCTCCCAAATCTGCACCTGCGCCCCGACCTCTTCCCCAACCCCAGCCCTGCCTCCCGCTGGCATCTCACCCAGCCATCTGCAGAATCGGCTGCCCAGCACCCAGCCCAGCACCACCCTGCGCTTCCCCACCTCAGAACGCAAGGTCATCTCGCCCCAGTGGCCAGGGCGCAACAGGAGTGACCTGTTCTTCTGACCGGCCTGCGTGCTGTCCATCAGCGGGTCCTGCCTATTCTCTACCCACCTCCCGGGACCATAAGCATCTCCAACCTGGGCGGCTTCGCGCGGAGCCCTGGACTCTGGTCCTGCCCCTCTCCTGTACGTCCCCCACATGGCAGCCAGAGGGCGCTGCGTCCAGCAGAAATCAGGTCAGCACCCTCTCCTGCTCAGAAACTTCAGGGGTCCCACTGCCCCTGGGATAAACCTGGCCAGGGGCTGGACCTAGAGACCTAGAGGTCCCGCCTGCCTCCCCAGCTCACCTCAGGCCTCTCCCCTCACTCACCATCCCACACGCCTCTGTCCCTCCGAGCCCTGAGGACCACCAAACCCCACCTGCCCCAAGCCCTGCACCCCTGCTGCATCTGTGCCTGGGTCTCTTCCCTCACAGGGCTGGCTCCCAGATCTCATTCTTACTTACTCAGAGATATTGTTATTGCCCCTAGCCATTCATCTTCTTTAAGAATCCCCACCCCCACTCCCCAGTCAATAACAAATGGCTATATATTTCAAAATTACTAGAAGAGCTGGGAGGGGTGGCGCACACCTGTAATTCCAACATCTCAGGAGGCCGAGGCAGGAGGATTGCAAGTTGGAGGCCAGCACTGATTGAGCCCTGTCTCAAAATAAAAAAAAAAAAAAGCCGAGAAAAGCAACCCCAAGGGAAAAAAACCCCGAAGTCAAATCCCAAAACAAAAAAAAAAAAAGAAATTCCAAAAAGGAAGAAGGGAAAGGTTCAACAAAAAAAAAAAAAAAAACAAAAAAAAAAAAAATGATAAGTATTTGAAGCTATCTGCATGCTAATTACCTTTATCCCTTATCCTTTCTCAATGTGCACACGTATCAAACACCACAATGTACCCCACACACTTGTACAATTATGATGTCAATTAAAGACACGCCCATCATCCTCTACCCCAACACACTGCTCATAACGACTTGTATTATTTTTATTTGCTCTTTTCCCCCCATCTCCAGGTGCTCCGGAAGGGCAGAAACCAGGTCACGGTGCTCTTTGTGCTCAGTGAAAATTAACTGACCCCATAATGAAGCGGTAAAGAGCAGCACTTTGATGTCACACAAACCTGCATTCTCCAGCTCAGCCAGTGGTGGCTTTGTGACCCTGGGCATGCATGGCCCTCCACCCTCTTCATTTCAGTGTCTTCAATAATTAATTGGGATAAGAACTCTGCCTCACGTGGTCACTGTAAAGAGAAGATGTGGTGACATGTGTGCGGCTCTTGGCACAATAAAGGCGTTAGGAGCAAATAAATAAATAAGTGCTCAATAAATGAAGCTGTTATTCAAGACATGTTCAGAGGATCAGCAGCCCTAGGAAAGGACACCCACTGCTCAGGAAGAGGGTGGCATCAAATGAAACAGAGCAGGCTGCGGGCTAGCTGGCTGGCCCCCCAGCACACCAGACCTCTGGAGCACACAGATGGGGAGGCAAACAGAACTGAATTCGGAAAAATGGACCCGGACACAAGGACAGAACCAGCAGGACATAGTAGTGGCCACATAAAGACTTCCCCGCTAGTTGCCAAATCTAAGAGAATTGGGGGCTCCGTGTCCTGGGTTTGATGAGGAATCCTGGACCCACACAAGGGACCCCGCCTACTGGATTAGCACCCTGCCACCTCGGGGACTCCCCTGCTCCTGACAAGGTGGAGGGCTGGGGATGCCAGCCACTGAGTGACCACCCAGGCACCTGGCAGGATGCTGCAGCCAGGGACGCACAGCCTCAGCAGGTGGGCCGGGGTCCAGGCCTATCCTGGAAAAGGCCGGCTGCGGTTTCCATGGAGCCCGTCACCATGGAAACCAAACCTCAGCGGCAGGACTCCGGCAGAGCCAGGAAGACAAGCTCCTTTCTTGTCCATGTCCCAGGAGCCTACAGGAGGGGGACGTGGGGACAATCAAGCTTTCTGAACCAGGCGGGGTGGGGGCGGGGAGAAGTGGAGGTCGTCTTCCTGCTCAATGGGCCGGCCATAAACCACCAGGACGCGGCAGCCTATTTCACGCCTCTGTGCCTGCGCTCAGCTGTCCCCTTGCCTGGAGTGCCCTCCCCGCCCCTGGAGCATTGCCAACCGTCATCCAGGCCTGGCTCTTTACCTCCTGACCCTTCCCGGCAAAATCAGCCCTTCCCCCGCTGTGGCCACCCAAGTCTGTCCCCTCTCACATTCCCAGTGCGTCGGGTTCACCCGGAGCTTGGGGAGGGTGGTGGCACTAAGCTCTGGAGCAGAGACACCTGAGTTCAAGTCCCAGCTCTGCCAGGCACCTGTGGGGTGACTCAAGCAAGCCACTCATCCTCTGCTTCCTCACGGGCCGGTTTTCAGCTGTGTGATCTTGGGTCAGTTTCTAGACGTCTCTGACCCTCCACCCCTTCATCTGCAAAATGAGGTGAGGGCTGCGAGTGTCTGGGCGCAGTCAGCTGTCATCAGAG